GAGAAGAGGCGCAAAGCGAGAGCCGCAAAGCGCCCGAGAATTGCTAATTGATGATCGACGCGCCACGGCGCGGAGCGGAGTGGGAAAACAACCGCGGAGGATTTTCCGCGCGCGCGACGCGTTTCCCACCTCCCTCCCCCTCAGTCCCCGTTCGAGACAACGGAACAGGGCCTCGATTGAACATTCCGCTCGCGAGAGGGAGAGCCCCTCCCGAGGAGGTTCGAGCTGTTCACCATCACCACGTGCGAGTGTCGCGCGGCGCATTGCGGAGGCGAAGGCGCAAGAAGAAGTTCCCCGAGCCGACACCGTCTCTCTCTCTCTCTCTCTCTCTCTTTCTCCCTCCCTCCCTCCCTCTCTCTTTCTCTGCGCGTCGGCATTTTATTTTAATAGTTTAATCGCGCGAGCAACATTCCAATTAACCGGGTCCTCCCGGCGATCGGCGCGCGCGTTTACGGCGACCACTATAAAACTAGCTCGTTGAGGCGGAGACGCGAGCCGACCGGGCCCGACCGAGCTATCACACGCATGCGTATGCGTGCGTGCGTGCGTGCGTGCGTGCGTGCGTGCGTGCGCGCGGAGAGGCCGCGCCGGAGAAAAATTTCGCACGTAATAAAACAGCCGCGTGTCCGAACCGCGCGCGCGCGCGGGAAAAACGACTTTGCATCGCGCTCGGTTCCGGCCAACAACAATTATCTCTAATGGGCCGCGATACTATAAATCGACATACACGCGGCCGCCTCGATGAAATCGGCCGCCGCTCCGTGCCATCGCACACGCACACGCACACGCACACGCGCGCGCAACACCGCGCGAGAGATGGCAGAAAATAGAAACCGCTTCTGCTGTATCTGCTGTATGTGCTCTGTCGTTGTCCGAGAGCGCCGTGCGTGCTCGCTTCGATTCTCTTCGCGTTCGCACGCGAGAGAAAGAGAGAGAGGGGTGGAGGGGCGGGGGGGGTGGAGGGGAGGAGAAGCCGGAGATGGAATCCACCGGGTTGTGTAAGTAGCGGCACCTGACTGCAATGTTGATGATTCTAGCGAGAGGAAGAGCGAGACAGAGCGAATGAGAGGAAAAGGGAGAGAAAGAGAGAAGGGCGGAGGGGGGGGGGAGGAGGAGAGCGAGAGAGGTCGGCCGAGAAAGTAAGAAAGAAGGAGGCGAACAGGTAGACGGGCGATTCGAGGCGTACGCATGTGCACCGCGCGCGAGCGAACGAGCAAGAGAGACGATCCCGACGTCGGGGCCTGTCAAGGGGAGGGCGCGGGGAGGACGGAGGGACGAGAGAAAGGAAAAAGGAGATCGGGCCCCTGTCCTCCTATCCGAGCGCGGGGCATGCGGGCGTCTCGCGAGCGCGCATGAATCGGCGCGGCGCGAAATGAAAGGAAAGCGACGCGTGGAAATGCTCGTAACAACGAGCCGATCGTCGCCGATTATTGTTGACAACCGGACGAGTCGAGGACGAGGATGCCGTAGGTCGCGCTTTCCGGATAGACGTGAGAGACGCCTCGCCCGGAGAGGGATTCAATTAAGGGGAGCCGGAGGAGGCGCGAGCAAGGAAGAAGAATGGGAAAGCTATTACCGAGCTATTATATCACGTCGGCTCTTATTACTGCCATATATAGCCGAGCGTTATTAATCGCGCGGTGCCCATGGCGCGCACTCTCTTACGTATCAATAATGATTACGTCCATAAGTCGCGGATGCGCCTAAGCGCGCCTAGATACAAGTCATTTATTTGTGTCGCTCGGCGACGTTGGAAATATACGTTTTCATTCTTCACGCCGCGGCCGCGACCGCGACCGAAACAGATGTGTGTGTACCGCTGTCACGCTGAGGAGCCGGGCTCTCTCTCTCTCTCTCTCTCTCTCTCTCTCTCTCTCTCTCTCTCTCTCTCTCTCTCTCTCTCTCTCGGGCCTGACCGAGAGACAGGTGCGGCGCGAAACGTAATCCGCGGAGCTGTCATTAGAAGTCGCGCGCGCGCGTGTCATTAGAAGGCCGCTGCCTCTAACTCGAAGACGTTTAGGGAAATTCCAAGCGCGGAAGTCGCTCTCGCGGGTCCTTGAGACGTCTCTTTCTCCCGCGTCTTTTTTTCCTCGCGCCGCTAAAGCACAGGCGAAGCGTCGGCCGCCGGGAAGTGGGTCACCGATGAAGCATCGCGACGCAACTCGGCGTAATGAGCGTGATTGAGATTATAAGTGACGCGCGCGGGAACGATGTACTTTTTTCTCCTCCTCTGCGGCCAGCCGCAGCCGCGGCGATCCGCCCCGTCGGAGAGGGATAAAGTGTCTCCAGTTCAGGAGATTTCATCGACTTGCTGATTTCGGGTCAGAAGCTGGCCGTTGAACGGCCGCTTTTACACAGTGAGGCTCATTTGCGTCAGAGTTTCGTGATTTGGAGATTTTCAAAGGTCATCGAGCTAACAGAGTTAGGGCACTGTTGTAACAGCGTATTCTTGACCAAATGGGGTAAAAAAATACCACTTTTTTGCCGACAAACAGTTGCCGAGATATCGTAAGCCAAATATGGAAAAAGTTGCCGTTTTCCTTAAATATCTCGAAAAAATATTAAGCGAGTAGAAAAATGTCTCAGACAAAAGTTGTCGGCAAATTAATCGGCAGGAAAAGGTGATGCAAAAAGAAATGGAGGTCCAATGAAAAAATTCAAGGTGACCTTTCCGTAACCTTGATGACGCCGTTCAAGGCCGTGTCAGTACTGTTATGTGACGCGTCACTTGAAACTCTACAACTTCTGTATTTAACATTTTTTCCCATCTCGCATATTTTCAAAGTTATTCAGGTGGCCCGTTTTAAGCGTCTCACTCTGTAGCGGTTGAAAGGTTAAACCAACCATAGACTACCCCTACAGGTAGCTTAAATCTAAGCTGGATTTAATGCAAGACTAATCCGTGAAAAAGTATCTCTGAATCAAGAGGTACAAATATCGTCAGCCTCTTCTTGTATTGTTGTTGTTAGACTTACGACCAAAAACTAAGCTCGTTTTGTCTCGGACAATTCGGCAGTCCGAGATCATTCGGAAATCGCTCGACGGCGATCGCGTCTGTCACGTGATCGTTGGGTGTTTGACTTTTCATCCAATGTTAACGCGACAGATGTGCCTTGCACTGATCCAACCGCGTTCCGTGTAATCGAGAGCTCTCCTCGTTCCTTCGGCGTGTACTGCTAATCTAGACGAGAGGGCTGTACTGATTCGCGGCAATGGGAAAGTTACGGTTTCTCGGATCATCGGCCCGATCGTTAACACGCGTACATGGAACGGCATTCATAGTCGGATTTTCTACTTCTAAGACCGTCTCAAGTTCATCCTCAGACTCTGCGTGGATCGTCTGAAGATGAACTTGAGACCATCTTAAATATGAGATCGAACTGTGAATACCGTCCATAGACCGAGTCCTCGCACGAGAGAGAGAGAGAGAGAGAGAGAGAGAGAGAGAGAGAGATTTGAAGACCAGATATGAAGGACAGATACATCCCTCTTCTACTGTTCGCAAAGGCGCATCCCTCTTCGTCCGTCTCTCTTCGATAGAAGCGAAGCTCGTGAAGAATCGAATGCGTGCCTATGGCGCGCAGACCGTTCTTTTCAGGTGTAGTCTTCTTGTCTCCTTGGAACGTTCTATATATACAGAGTGTTTAGAAATTCTTCACACAGCCATCGTGCGCAAGCAGAGCGGCTGAAACTGCAGAGAGGGATCATGCGTTGTCTCGCAAAGTTCGCGATAGTCGGTATGAGCGAATCAGCGCGCAGGGAGCGGCAGGACACGTCCGATGAACAAGATGGCTTCTGGTTTGGAGGAAAAGAAGCTCGCTACAACTCGGCCCGATCACGTCCAATACCTCGACCATGCCCTCTTCAGTCCCCCCTCGGAAAAGTTCGCAGCGTTCAGGTTCCTCGATGTTTCAAGGCGCGATCTGCCTAACTGTGCGCGTTGAATCTCATGAATGATGATGATGAGAAAGAGAGGGATGGGGGCAAGGGCGGGGGCGACAAAACGGGCACGAAGGGATGAGGTATGGCCGAATGAAGTGATCGAGCGATACGATCTCGCGGCGGTCGCGAGCGCCGCGTCCGCATTATCCGGGGAACCAGCTCGCGCTTGTCGGCCCGTCATAAGTCTCGCGCAATTATAGTTTCCGTATTTTCTCAAGAGGCCAGCCGGAGGATCGGACCGGTAATGAATCACGCGGACAGTATAATGCGCATATGCCCGCGCTCGCCCGCGTATTGTAATGCCCGCTGTAAAAAGCCGCACGCAGAAAGTTACACGCGCGCGCGTGCTTGAAGTTTTGCGGCCGTGGTCGCCGCTGCTGGCAATAAATAACGCGCTCAGTCGGCGAGCGGAAGAGAGACGCTCGGCGCCGAGGGGGAGGAGGAGGAGGAGGAGGAGGAGAGTAAAGCGCGCGTAGATAAGATGAAGAAACGAAGAAGAGAGAAGGCGGCAGGAGGGAGTCGGCGCGGGATAAAGACCGGAGATGGCGAGGAGAAAGAACGGCGGAAGAAGTGGAGGCGCGAAGGGTCGGCGGAGAAGACGAAGACAAAGAGGGAAAGTGCGGGCTCGCGAGATTTGCGAAAGAACGACTCGATGAGAGAGAGAGAGAGAGAGAGAGGGGGGGGAGAGGAAGAAGAAGGAGAAGCGACAGAGGGAGAGAGAGAGAGAGAGAGAGAGAGAGCAAATTCATGCGATGCGTCCGCGTGATGCGGGAGAGGGAAAGTGCGCGGAGCGGTCTCTCGTAGCGCGCGCATTACAATGCTCGAGAGCGAGCGGATTTACATTATCCGCGGCTGACCGCGAACGTCTCAGCTTCCTCTAATGTGTGATAATGGACGTACGTGCATACGCGCGCACGAGAGCGCGTTCACTCGCGCGGCGCGGCGCAGCGCGGCGCGCCGCGCCGCGCCGCTACTTCGTACATCCGGACGAGATGGAGGCGCCCGAGCTCTCGTCTCTCGAAAGATGCCCACGTCGTTAGAGCGTGCGAGAATGCAGAATGCCTTGTTTCCTGAAGGCAATTTCTTGCTGATATAAGTCGCCGGCATGCGTATCGCGCTCGAGAGAGAGAGAGAGAGAGAGAGAGAGAGAGAGAGAGAGAGCAGACCGCCGCTGCTCACACAGGGGCCGCGGACGCAACGAGGGGCTGTTAGCGCGGCGCGAACGGCCATCATCGTCCCGAGGAATTTTCAGTCTGCCTTCGACCTCGATGTTCGTTCCATTTGACACTGATTTTTCGCCCCGAGGCTCATATTAAGGGGAAATTACACGGCCGAAGGCCGTTTTCAATACTATTTTTACGAATTTTTGTTCAACAGAAACGGTAAGATCAATGGACTTGAAATTTTCGCAGTGTATTCATTAATGTCCAAAGTATAAAATAAATTTTATTGAATCACAAGGACCGATCCAATTTGTAATTCTAGATGAAAATGCAGTCATCCGTTTGCGAGCTCTATGTTTGCTGTCGACATAATTCCGAGTCTCTCACCACTCTGAAACCAAAAAGTGAGAAAAATTTTTTAAATATACGGTTATCATTATAGCCCGTACCAAAATGAAGGCAGTGAAGCCAAGTTTGGAAAAATAATGACTGTGCAACAAAAGATTATCGAAAATGAAACTTTTTTTCGATTTGTAATCATGTTTAAAAGAATGACTAAAATAAAATATAACTATGCTCGAGATAGGGGCGAGAATTACATGTCCACAGTATATTGTGTAAAAATTTCAAGTTATTTGGTTCAGTAGTTTTTGCGTAATCGTGTTAAGGAAATGGTGTTTCTAGATAAACGCGTTTAAAGTTTTATGTATATTTTCCATATAGATAGTAACAAATTTATTTTATACTTTGAACATTAATGAATACACTGTGAAAATTTCAAGTCCATTGATCCTACCGGTTTCTGTTAAAAAGATTCGTAAAAATAGCCTTGAAAACGGGCTGCTCCGCATGTAAATCCCCCCCTTAATCTACAACTTTGTCATTTACAAGCGTCGAGTGAAACTTTAGTTTCTACATTAGATAAATCTCGATTAATCCTTCAGAATAAATAGCCACGAGACAGGTCGAAAATTTTTTTTAGGTCGAAAATAGTCTTGGGATCAAACCTCCGATAGGCGTAGCTTGATAAATAAGTAAACCGAAGATTTTGCAGAATTTCGGCGATCAAATTTTCCACCGGCCAATTGTCGCAGACGCAAGTTTCTCATATTTCAAGAAATATCGCAGCCGATCGCTGCGAGCGGCTGCTATTATCGTATAGAGATTGTCTCTTCGCGATTTTGAGCAAATGCACGAAAATTGACCGGTTTGTGATTCCTCGCAAAAATTACCCGACGATTTATTCAACGACGCTCTCGACATTGAGTCAAATTAAAATGGACGAAAATACACATTTTTGCCTCTGCACAACGCGCTCATTCAGGAACCTGCGACCGCTCCGGTCGCGGAGAAGTAGGTCGCGTTAATCGCCGGCGCTTGCAGCGTTAAGGGGGAATTAAACGCTACAAATTAATGTGCAGTGTTAGTATTGTGACACGAAGAACGTTGAGTCAATATGGGCACGAGTCTAGCGCGACACAGCGCTCTCGTCGGCTCAAGGTCGCGTGACCTCGGAAATAACAACATACGTATATAAGAGCAATTACCATAGCAGCCATAACAGTCCTTGACGCGAACGGAAACGGATCGGACGTTGTCGCGCGTGATTCCCGATCTTTTCGGTCGTGAAACGCGTTGAGGTATTTCGCGCGCGCGATTATCCCGCGGATTAGTGTTTTCTTGAGCAGCGGCCACATCCTTGAATCTTGAGGGTAAGCAACATTTAAAATCCTCTCATCGTTTTCATAATTTCAAGTGAAAGATACACTATTCTGAATCTCTCTTTCTCTCTTTCTCTGTCCCTCTGCCTCTTTCTCTGCATATAATTAATCGGAATGCTCTCTTTTCGTTTCAGATATGGTAGAGAGCTTAGTGGGTGCGGCTTCTCCTGGACGACACAGTTTTGGTGGATGCGGCTGCTGTACCGGAGGACCCGGTTCGGGCCGAGCAGGATCGACTTGAAGGTAGGTTTATGCGTTTGCCATGTGCATTTCGCTCTGTGCGATCCGAAACTTTGCGATAGAATCGATCTAAAAATCGCTCGGTTACAACTTTCGCAAAATAGCGCAAATTCGCGTATTTTTCTTATCGGGCTGTTGATCGCCATAACTAATCGACGATGTCATGTTTTTGTTGCAGAGTTGCGGCAAATCGTGGCCGATCCTGAGTTCCCGGTAATCGGTGAGTCCGAGAAATGAAAATGATTTGAAGTTTTGAGGTGGTGGGTGTTTGCGAAGTCACCTAAGTCATTGCGATTTTTACCTAGCTTTGCGTCCACACTGAGAGAAGTAGTCGATCGATCTTATTAAATCGCAGTCAGTTTTAGAACCAGTAATATTCTTTTCCAACGTGAAGATCACAGTAGAATATATTACAATAGCGCAATAGTGAAAACAATAATAAAATGTTTGCTAGAGACACCGGTTTTTCCCAATTACAAATATTTTATCACGCAATTATAGTTGGAAATATCAAACGCTTTTCTCTCAGTGTGTTGAAATTTCACTTGTACGTGTTTACGTCATCCATTGAAATAGACTGCTCGATATAATCGTCTTGTTTACCAACTATCTGAGCTGTCGAATATTTCTTAAAGACGTCAATCCTTGATATCCTTTGTTCAATTCACCGAATGTCCAATTATTTTGAGCAGAAAATCGCGTATTAAAATCGCGCATTAAAATAGCGTCACGATACGCGGAGTTTGTGATTATTCTGCCCGCGATAAATTCAGCGGTCATCGCAAAGTCACAGAGAAAACAAACGCGGAGCTTGTATATTTTGACGCATTTCGGAAATCGCCCGTTTCGGGACGAAACGAAATTTTTCACACGTGACGGATTTGCGTGATGCGATTCCGCTCGAAATTCAATACATATATTTATCGTTGCCGCCGCAAGTCAGAATTCACGCGAAACAAGGAGCTCGTTTTTCGACAAAGCGCAGTTATCCGCGAAACCGAACGCTGTTTTTTTTTCCTCGCGATGTTTGTTTACACGCGACTCACGGGTGCGTTTTCATGAATCGTCAAGATAAATCATAATGTCAATAAAATCGATCATGTTTAAAAAAATGAATAAAATAAAATATAACCGTGCTCGAGGTAGGGCCGAAAACTACATGTCTACTATATATTGTGTAAAAATTTCAAGTTATTCGGTTCAGTAGTTTTTGCGTAATCGTGTCGACAGTTTAAGGAAATGGTGTTCCCAGATAAACGCGTTTAAAGTTTTATGTATACTTTCCATACAGATAGTGACAAATTAATTGTATACTTTGAACATTAATGAATACACTGTGAAAATTTCAAGTCCATTGATCCTACCGGTTTTATTGAAAAAAATTCGTAAAAATAGCCTTGAAAACGAGCTACTCCGCATGCAAATCCCCTCTTAATTCACAGCTTTGTCATTTATAAGCACCGAGTAGAACGTTAGTTTCTACATTAGTTAAATCTCCATTAATCCTCCAGAATAAATAGCCACGAGACAGTTTTTAGATCGAAAATAAAATCTTGAGATCAAGCCTCCGATAGGCGTAGCACTTGATAAATAAGGAGACCGGGCCGCGTCCGTAGATTTTGCAGAATTTCAACGGTCAAATTGTCCACCGGCCAATTGCTGCGATTTTTTGATGGGAAAAACGCCCTGGTAAAGGTTGCTCGCTCGCTCTCTCTCTCTCTCTCTCTCTCTCTCCCCCCCTCTCTCTCTCTCCTCTCTCTCTCTCTCTCTCTCTCCCCCCTCTCTCTCTCTCTCTCTCTCTCTCTCTCTCTCTCTGCCATTTGTGACATTGCGCTAAACTATATTCGTCTCACACAGCGAGTTGACGCGCGTGCCCATTTCTCTTCCACTTTATTTATACATAAACAAAGCGTTTTGCGAATCTACCCCTACGTGTCTTAATTTCTCCTCGACGCTCTGCCCTGCGAAAATCGCGATACAGCGTGTATCCTCATCAGTGCGCTGTACGAGTCTCCAGATTGATCCGTTGAGAGTGTGTTCCCCTTCGTTACGTCGGTACCGCCATTAGCAGATACCGTTGTTGAAGTAGAAAAGAAAAGAGCAAAGCGGAAAGGATAAAGCATGTTCTTACCGGAGGCCACGGCGACAGAATGAATGAAACTAATCTCAATCTCGTCACGGCGGCTTGGTCAGAAGACACGGCGCAGAGATTGCTCTCGAATTCGTAAAAATGTCCCGCCCGACATGCGTCGTGGGTCAAAACAAGAGCGAGGTGCCTTACGCAAGCCAACGCGACGAAGCGGTGCGTATCGGCGCGCACTTATCGGCCGCGATTCGAGTTTCACTCGGAATCGCACGCGGACAAAAAAGGCCCGTTCGTTGCGTATTAGAAAGCGGGTGTCGGCGGGCAGCCGACGAAGTAATCGAGACGTCGAAACATCGTGCGCAAAATTCCCCCTCTCCCCCCCCCCCCGGACGCCTCGTGCGAATTAATTATCGCTAAACGCGGCTCGCTCCGACAATAATCGTCGTTTCGAAGATCGCCCGCTGTCTCGAATCGCACACGCGCGGACGTTGCTCGACGACGATCGGGCTCGAGACAGAGAGAGAGAGAGAGAGAGAGAGAGAGAGAAAGGGGGACAACCGACAGGGCAGCCAGCATCTCGCAAAAGTGCACACGTACGCGCGACGGCGTTTATTCAATTACATAATTACACGGTCGGGAAACGGGAATTTCCCGTGGTGAGAATGCTCGCGAAGAGAGCGGGCGCGCACACACACACACACACACGCGCGCGCGCGCTTGATGCACTTCAGCATCGGCCGCGCGTATAATTAGAGGCATCGGCAGCGGCGATTTTCCCAGACAACGGGGAAATCGCCGTGCCCACGGAGAACGCAACGACGCGCCGCCGTTCACGCGTTCTCACCGGCCGCAGCCGGGCGGCTGGTTCGATCCTCGTTGTTGTCCGACCAGGCGATGTGGGCGACGCAGAAAAGTCCCGCCGAGCTATCGCGAGAGCCCGCGACGGAAAAGCCCGCCGTCCCACATTCCGCGCCGATCGTACGCGCGCGCACACACGCATACACGTGCGTGCGTGTGCAAAAAGAAGACCTCTCCCCCCTCACCCCCTCCCGCCCGCCGGCCGGGCTCCGCAACAACAATACGGGCATAACAGTGATTACGCCGCACGCGATATCACGTTTCGTTTTTTGCGCGAGGATCGCGGCTACAGGCTCGTATCTCTTCCACCTGCGCGGTTTAACCACCGCGGGACCCGCCGAGGAGGAGGAGGAGAAGGGGGGAGAAGAAGAAAAGACCGTCGAGAGACCGTCCGAGCACGGCGGCGGGCCGCCAGCCAGCCGAGCGCGCGGATAGGAAGGAAAGAAGCGCGAGTCCGAGAAGCGCGCACGACCGAGGGAGGGTCGTCCCATTGTTGTTTGTCTTGCTGAATATTTTAATTGGACGCAGGTCCCGTCGCGTTATTTATCGTCTAACAATGCTCGCGAGACTGGCAATTAATTATGTTGTTTTGCGTTACTTTATATGAAGATAGCAGGTCGATAGGAGTTAACCGGCCGAGAGCAACAATGCTGTACAATGCGCAATTAGCGGCCCGCCGGGCCCCCGGACGGCGAACAATACGGCGGCGGCGGCGGCGGCGGCGGCGACGGTGCGTGTATGCCGTGTATGCGTATTTGTGTGTGCGTGTGTGTGCGTGTGTGTGCTTGCGTGCCACCGCGATATTAGCCGGCGAACTCTTTATGCGCGCGCGCTCGCGAGACGCGTGTTCCAGGATTTGCGTCGGAGGCGTCGCGCCGCGGGGCCTCCTGCGCCATCAACGCGCTGAGGCGAGCAGCAGGAGCCAGGCGTTTCTCTCTCTCTCTCTCTCTCCTCTCTCTCTTCTCTCTCTCTCTCTCTCTCTCTCTCTCTCTCTCTCTCTCTCTCTCTCTCTCTCTCTCTCTCTCTCTCTCGCTTTACTCCCGCGGCTCGAGGTCGCTACGGGAGCGTCGTATAAATTCGTTGTGAAATATTAAGGAGGAGTTAAGTCGCGGGGAAAATACGAAAGCGTCGCGGCGATTCTCGGTCGACAACTCGGCCATGTTCGCGCGCGGATCCTCGCTGCCGCAGGATCTACCCGCGACGACCTTCTCCCCGGCGCCGCAGCCGCGGTTGACATTCGGCCGTCCGGGGCCGTCCGGTGATCGCGTTCGGCTTGGTATTTTTTAGCATCCGACTGAGATGGTTGGATTAGGGGTGATTGGTTAATTAGAACGATCATTTGATCGGAAGAGATTAGAATAGAAATTGAGATTGGGTTGTAGAGTAGTCGATGGGGAAAAAGCACGACGTAAACGTGGAGGAGCAGAGGCAAGTGTTTCTCGGAAATGCTTTTTTTCGGAGCAGAAATTGGTTCTGCATTGACATTAAAGTTACCGTGACGGCAACGCGCTCGCTTGCGAGACCTTGAATATTGTCGAACGTACGTTAGCGGGACGATTCAGCACAATCACTGTGTAGGCTTTGATATTTTTAAGGCCGTTTTCGGCACTCGGTACCTTTCAGGGTCGGTAATATCGCATACGATCTTCTGTTCAGTCGTCGGCATTGTCTACTTTTTTTTTATCGTCCCGTCACTCTTTGGTCCCTCGGAGCGCTCACGAAACGAGAGGCGCGGCACAAAACTCGCAGAGACGAAGTAACTGCGTGCATACACACGGATAAACCGCATTGAGAAGTTTCCTCCTTTCCTTTTTCGTTCGAGACGGGCGCCAGGTTCACGTCGCTGCGTCTTCGTGTAGTACAATCGTGTCTGGTAGCCGCAGACGCGATCCCACGAGAAGACGAGCCGCGGCTCGCGAGTAACGAGCTGCTGCCCGCTGAGAGGGACACGTCTCTCCTCTCTCCGTTCTTCTCCGCGCGGCCCATCGGCCTCTCTCTCCCCCTCTCCCCCTCTCCCCCTCCCCCCTCTCTCTCTCTCTCTCTCTCTCTCTCTCTGTCTTTCCATGTACCGGCGCATCATAGCCGCGATCTGTCCGGATGCGTCGGCGATTGTCCGTTTAGCTGTTATGCACCCTTCCTATCTCGCAGAGTAATTCACCTCGCCTCGCCGAAACACGACCGAGCATCGTTGTCCCCGATCGAGCCGCCGGAAGTGCGACTTTGCCGGTTAAACACCGTGGCCGAGACGAGACGAAAAACATACCGTTTGACAGATA